CCTCTTTTTTTTTCTTCGTGTTACGACACGCACACGCACGGGCATCTGCACACGCTACGGGAGGACGGCGTTTGTCCTCCTTGCACGGCACGGCTCTATCTTTCTTTCTCTCCGCTGGTTCACACAAGCGCACGCATGCACTCGCACACGTCACAGCGTACATCTTTTCTCTTCTTTCTCTCGCATTTTTCCCCCAACTCCCACCCCCACGCTCTCCGTATGTCTCACTTTTTGTTGGTTTGTTTTTTGTTTTCTTTCACCCAGCGAGAAGTTGTGGGGAGGAAGGCGGCGGGCGAGGTTTGTTTGTTTGTTTTGTACGCCTCTTCGTCTATGTGCGTTCAGCCGCATCCCCTTCGTGCCGCGCGGCGGGAGGATGCGCCGTCGTGTACGACTTCCTCTTTGTTGTTGTTGTTGACGGGGCAGCGTCCATCAAAGTGGAAGTGTTNGGGGGGGGGGGAGAGCGAGAGAGAACTGAGGGTATGGTAAGAGAGGGCGTGGAGCTGAGGGTGCCTTCGTATTCTTCACTCGGGCTTTTCTTTTTCAAGTGTGTGTGTGTGTGTGTGTCCGCTTGCGTTTGTGTGGTGTGGTGACGGTGTGTGTGTGTGTTTTTGATAATTCTCTGATCAACAGAATGGCAGCAGGGGCGTGTGTGTGTGTGTTGGGGCTGGCGCTGTTTTTTTCGGCCTCAGCCACGAGTGTGCTCTCATTGCCACTGCGCGGGCACGCGCGTTTGCTTCCGGTACCTAATTGCTTGTTTTCAACAGAAACACCACAGGGCGTACTTTTACACGCCGCAAACAAAAAAAAAAGTAATCAAGTGGAGTGGGTCTGTGATTAGGTGCGCAGCAGCAACAGCGACAGGACGGCAGCGCACAAGTGGCAGTGGGGCAAGAAGTGTGATGCATCTGCAGCTGTCCTTGGGACCAGCAGAAGCAGAAGCAAAGGCAGCACCTGCCGCGGATCTCTTCGTGCGGCCCTCCGGCTCCCACGTGGCGGGTTGCATTCGAGGTGGGCCGGCAGTGGTGGTGTGGCGCCTTGATGCCCCCCGTGCCAGCAACGATGGCCGCAGTACGGATGGCGTTGTGCTGGTGGACCCACATGCAACACATGCGTGCAATTTTCGTGTGACGGCGCTGTCGGGTACTGAGCACTTCATCCTCGTTGGCCGCGTTGACGGGGGCCTACAGGGGTGGGGTTGGGATGGGGCCCCGCTCTTTGCTCTGCCTGGCGTGGAAAAGAGGGTGGGCAGCACTGCTGCTGAGATTCAGCCGGAGGCAGTTGTGGCGCTCTCGCAGCCGATGTGTGCGGGGCCCCGCGGCGTGGTGGGCATCGCGGTCTTGTACGACTCCAGCATGCGTCTATTGGACACAGCGTCGAGGCAATTCATACCTCTCTTGACGGAGCAGCAGGAGCAGGAGCATAGTTCGAGCCACACCATTCTCTTGGGAAGCGGCTGCACATGCCTCAGCGCAACTGACACGGGTTGCGTCGTGGGGGGCAGTCGAAGCGCCTTCTTCATGCGGCACAGCGATGCGGCATCTGGCGGCCGCATGACGCTGGCAGCCGTGACTCCGCAGCCCCAGGTAGAGGGAAGTGACAGTGAGGGCGAAATCTGTTGTGTGGCACTTCGGCCAACGTCGAATGCTGTCGACTTTGCTGTCGGATATTCGTCCGGTGCCGTTGCATTCTTTCATGGCGCAGAAGGCGTGCAGGGCGGGTCCATTGGCCCACAGCCGCATAGCAGCAGTGGTGGTGGTGTTGTTGCGATGGACAGTGCCGCCGAGTACGTGGTCTCCGGCGGTGCTGACGGGAATGCGGTGGTGTGGTTGTGGGAAACGCGTGGGCCGATCTTCACAGTGACGGTGCGCACGCCTGTGCGACACCTCTGCCTCCACCCTCGCGGCCACTGCTTTGCCACATTCAACGCGGATGGCTCGGTGAAGGTGTACGACACGCACGAGGGGAAGGTGGTGCGCATCCGTCGTGGCCACAACAATCATGCGGCCGACAAGGGCGCGTTCTTGTCTCCGCTGGGCTCCAGCAATGAGTGGTGTAGTGTGTCGGCGCAGGACGGCACGCTGTGCCTTTGGGCTGTCGACGCCACTATCACACTTCACTGGCCTGTCTCCGCCGCCGCTGCGGCTGCTGGTAGTGGTGGTGGTGGTGGTGTAATGGAGGAGCAAGAGAAGGAGAGTATAATAGTGGATGGGGAAGGGCGTAGTGAAGCGCCTGTGGTCCGTAGACCGCTTGCAGATGAAACACTGCAGGTCCGTCTTGGTGAATTTGCCAAGGGGCTAATGATGTCACCCACCTCATTGTTTTCCGGTGCTGGGGATAATGGCCACGAATCCATGCGCCCCCCTCCGCGAACAACAGCAGCTGCGGCAACACTAACACGAGCAATAACAAGAAGAGGGAGAAAAGAGACCACTGTTGCACCGACGGACACCGAGTCACGTCAGAGTGACAGGTTCGCTGATCCCCAGCCGTACCTGCAACAGCGGCCGCAGACTGGAGACTCGTTGGTGCAGGGAGTGACGCCCGTGACGCTTCCCTCCCCGCCGCACACCGCAGAATACGACCTCACCGATCTTGATGTCAATCTCTCACCGTTCACCTCGCTCCCGCAGACGGGTCGGCAGAAGTCAGCGAGGCTACCCGAAATGCCGTGGGGTGCCCTCGCGGTCACGCACCTGCGCGCAGAGCACCGTTACAACCGCCAGTCCCTCGGCATTGCACGGCCGCAGCCGGTGCTTGCTGGATCCCGCATCTCCGATGCCGCCCTCGGCATACTTGAGCGTGCCGGCTTGCTCTCCTCGGCCTTCGACTGCGCCGCCTTTACCGCCATAGTGCCTGTTGTGCTGCTTCTCAACGACGTCCAGGGCAGTATTGCACTGCGCATGTACCTTAGCGGCCTTGCGAATACTGTGAGGTCCCCCTGCACGGCGCTGCACCTTCTTTCCATGTACACGAGTCTCGTTGTGGACGTACCCGTCGTGATGGAAAAGTTCATCCGTGTGGTGGCACCGTGCGAGTTGAGTTCTCTTCGAACCTTCCCTGCTGCGTCCCCCTTCAGACGGAAGGATCTTATGCTGCTGCAGCTGCTAGTCCACGCTTACCGCGAGATGGTACACATACTGCCGACGGAGCCACCCCGAGTGCGGCCGCCCCGCTACTTGTACCGCTGGCACCGCGAGTACCTGCCAACAACGCACATTGGGCGTGAAGTTGTCTTCACGTCTGTCCCCTTCGTCACGTGCGACCTCGAGACGGTTATCGTGCAGCTCTCATCTGACAAGGCGTCACCACTGCTGCCACCGCCGTCTGTGAGCGGCGTGTTCGCGCAGGACAGCAGCGCGTCCTTCACACCGTGTAAAAAAGAGTTGCTGCTCCACGGCACGCTTGTCGTCATTGAGAATATATCCGCCATGCCGTGTGGGGACCATTTGTTCATGGGTGGTGTGAGCGATTACGTGTTTCACCCCTTCACAAAGTTCCATGTGGGGTCATCGGACCTGGCGCGCATGACGGTGGCGCAGAAGATGGAGTGCCCCATCTCGTTTCAGTCGCGCGTGGCTCTGTGGATGCTGCACGAGGTGCAAGAGTGAGTCCGAACATGTGAAGGGGTTGGGGAGGCTTCTCTTGTGTTTCCATCTCGGTGGGGTGATGATGGTGAGGTGTTTTGTTGACTCATTTGTTTGTTCGTTTGTTGTTGTTGTTGTTGTTTTTATGGCCGTTCTGTGGATAAATATGCCCTTTCGCTCTCCATTTGTATCTGTGTGAACGTGCACTATCGTTATTTGCTATTTGTTTGTTTGTTTTGCCAGCTGCATTTACACGTTGGACTCTGTGAGAGGAAGAGCCAAAAGAAGGAAGTGTGTGTGTGTGCATCGACTCTGTTCTTCTTGGTGCGCAGACTTCTGCAGAGGGATGCCCCATCCTGTTTGCATGCATGCTGCTTCTGTGCGTCCAAGCTTCATTGTGTCTTTCTTCCNGCCAGCTGCATTTACACGTTGGACTCTGTGAGAGGAAGAGCCAAAAGAAGGAAGTGTGTGTGTGTGCATCGACTCTGTTCTTGTTGGTGCGCAGACTTCTGCAGAGGGATGCCCCATCCTGTTTGCATGCATGCTGCTTCTGTGCGTCCAAGCTTCATTGTGTCTTTCTTCCCTTCTTGCATTCTTCCTCTGTGTGTGGAAGGCACGCATGCATGGCTGAATCGCGGTATGATTACTCCACCACAGTCGCGATTCTCTCTCACACGGCGGTATTCAAGCAGGGCAGCCACCCACGATATGGTGCAGACCCAGTGGCGCTGAAGGTGACGGCCACACCGCTGCCAGTGCAGTCCGGCCATGATGCCGCGCACCCAACACCGCACGAGGCGAGGGTGTACGCATTGTTGTGCCCGCACCCGTCGATCCCCACCTTCGTGGAGTGTGAGGAGGATTTGTTCGACACGTCACGCTTTTTCGCGGAGGAGTATCGCTGTGGAGTGCAGCGGCTACCTATCCTCGTCACACAGTTCGTCAAGGCGGCTTCAGTTGATCGTTTCTTTCTCTCCTTCCCTGTGATACGGTGGTCAGTCGTGGTGCGGGTGGCGCGCGACGTCGCTGCGGTGCTGCAGCACGTGCACAGCAAAGGTGTTGTCTACGGCGACCTCAAGCTTCCGAATGTCCTTCTTGGTAATGGGGGCCGGACGTGGCTGGTTGATTTTGCCAGCGCTGTGGTTGTGGGCGAGGCTGCTGCTTCGGCCTCTCCCTTTGCCCCCTGTGAGGCGAGAGGCGGTATAAGGCGGGAGGAGCTTGCGCGAGGCGTGACGTTGCATATGCGGGCACCCGAGCTGTTTCCCTCCACTGACGTGGGAAATGACGCTTATAATATGGTGCTGCTGCAGCATCCGTTTATGGTGGACTTCTGGTCGTTTGGGGCGCTCCTGCTGGAGTTGCTTACGGGTCGTCCCTGCCTCGGTTCCTTCGCCATAGGCAGCGGTACGCTGTCAGCGGGGGAACTGCAGGCGAAAGTATTGGAGGGCTGGGCGCTTGCCAAGAGGCGCTACAACAACAGCAGCAGCGGCACACATGGGCCGCACCAGGTCAACACCGCCTGGGAGGCTCTTAAGGATATGCTCACGGGGTTGCTGCAGCACCGCCCAGAGCAACGACTTGGCTTTAGTGATGGCTGGGATTCTGTACTGCAGCATCGATTTTTTGAATGTGTAAAAACTAATCTCAAGGAACCTTTTCCGGAGGAATATGATGACGAGATCAGCGAGTTGTTGTTGGGGCTCTAAGCCTCTTCTGTCTGTCTTTTTTTTTTTTGCTTGGTACTTTTTTGTCTTTGCTTTCATTGTACTGTATCTGCATATATNTTTTTTTTTTTTGCTTGGTACTTTTTTGTCTTTGCTTTCATTGTACTGTATCTGCATATATATATATATATATATATATATATCTTACCAGGTCTCCTGGAAGAATGGGAAGAAAAAAGGCGCTGTTTGCACAGGGAGTGAAATGTGTGTTGTAGCACGTCTGTGTAAAGCCGTCTCTGCGAGCCACCGATTGTGTATCCTCTTTTCTTTTGGGGGCTGGGGTCCATTTACCGAAGGCCACAAGCTTGTGTCTGTCTGTATCTCTGTCTGTGTGTGTGTGTAAGGGTGCGTTTGTTGAGGTGCTCGGGCACACACACACACACACACTTCACGGTTTGTGAAGTTGTTTATGGGTGCATAGCTGAAGCAGCGACACGCACACATATACATAGATATAATATATATATATATATAT